AACTGTTTCATGTATTTCTCTAACATTAATGAAACTGTTTCATGTATTTCTCTAACATTAATGAAACTGTTTCATGTATTTCTCTAAAATTAAAATTATGAAGATGATAATATCTATGATTAACACCCTCCACAATAAAAATGATTAATCAACCTTTCATAAGTACAAAAAAATGAACAAAATGAAAAATTATGATTGGTTGAATGCGGTTTGCACGGTTTGTACAAATTGAGTGGTTTGCATTTGATCGCTCCCCTATATAGATATATATATATATATATATATATATATATATATATATAAGAAGGGTACTTGTACAATGCATCGAGACACATCTCGATTTCAACATTTTATTTTATTTTTTAATTTTTATCTACATCGATATAATACGGTTTTATGTGGTTTTGAGAAAATGATAATATATTTTTTTGAATAAAATAGCATAAAATTTTGAAAAAACTATATCGATGTTAGTATCAAATTAACTATTTAAAATTTTTTGTTTTGTGTAATTTCTTTAATTTAAATTTTTTATTATAATTTAATTTAAGGTAACGAAGTAATTTAATTTAGGTTTAATTATATAATTCTTTATAAAGATATAAATTAAGTATTCTGTTAAAACTTAATGATTATCCTAATTATATTTTAGATTTTTTATATTTAAAATGAGATGTTTATTCTGTATTTGATTATGTTTATCTGTAGTTAGTTACACAAATTCAAACATTGAGCYTTAATARGTTGTACTTACGCACAATTTACTTGTAATATTGAATTTTAAGAAATATGCATCAATAAACAGTACTTTGTGCATGAAAAATGATTTTTAAGAGTTTTTGTCAAATGCTCTATAATATAGTATAGATATATACGTAGGGTTGGGTTCACATGAGACCATCTTGTTTTCATGAAACCTGTAAGACCGCTTTTTTACACTTAAAACTTCACAGCAAAACGCTGTGAATGTAAAAAAAAGTCAAACCTTCACAGTAAAAACACTGTGAAGGTTATCTTGGAAATTTCAAGTGTAAAAAAATGGTCTCACAGGTTTCATGAAAATAGGCTGGTCTCACATGATCTCAAGCCTATATTATATATATGTGTGTGTGCACGTGCATATATATTAATTTTATAGTTTTTGTGTTTCATACGTATGTATAATGATTAATATTTAAATGTACTGTATTTGTTTCATACCAGGTTCGAATCCAATGAGGAATAAAAATCCCCTAGTTACTCATTGGATATGTCCTTTATCGGTTTAATATTTGCTTTTCAGCTTATAAACAAGCCGTTGATCGTTACCGGACTCTCTCTCGGGGGATATATCGCGGTTCTTTTCGCGCTATGGCTCCAACATGCCGTAGATGTAAAAGAAGCTTCTGGTTCTAAAGATACCAAAAGACCGATTTGCATAACTTTTGGTTGCCCGCTCGTTGGTGACGAAGCTCTTCAAAGATCGGTCTCCGAACGCCCACAATGGAAATCTGGTTTCCTGAATGTGGTCGCGAAGACCGATCCCGTTGCTAGTTTTATCTCTTCAAAGATTCAAGCAGAGCGGCCATACAAGCCTTTCGGCACCTTCCTCTTTTGCACGGAATCAGGCGGGCACACCGCTTTCGAAGATCAAGAATCGGTCTTGGCGGTTCTACACGCCATGGCGTCATCTCGACATGGAAATATGGAAGTTCCAGATTACGAGAACCATTTGACGGCAATCAGAAGGAAGGTATGTGTTGTTGGTTATTTTAGTGAAATCATTCGTTCACTTTATTTAGCTGGATTCACAAGAGAATATGGGGTTGGTAGATATCTACATCACGTGCTAGAGACACTACAACAAAATTGGCTTTATAGGACGCCTAAAATGGATAAGCGTCCCAGTAGAACACTTTATAAAACTTAAATTTACAGGACCAAACTATAAAACGTCATATCTAAAAGCATTACAACAGGTTTATAGAACTTTTTTCGGCGTTCTAAAAGAAATTTTAGGACACTTTTAAACTAAAGGGTCCTATTAGCTATTTCATATGACACTTTTTCAAATCATGTTATATAAAATAACCAATACAACACTTTATTATAAAAACGTCCTAAAAACCTTGTTAAAACACTTAAAGGTATCCTATAAACCATTGCAATACTTTTAGATAGGACGCTTTTTAGTTTGATCCTCTAAACTTAACTCATATAAAGTATCCTCTGTTTCTCTCGGTATTCACGAATTTCCTTCCTCCAACAGGCATTGTATCGCGGGGTTTCCGAATTCGGCCAATTCAACTTGAATCCGTTACGGGCTGGTATCACATGGCAGTTCAAAGAAGTCGGTATGCTGGACGAGATTCCGAACAATCTGATCGAACGAATGGAGGACAAACAAACAAGGGCGATAAAAAGCAAGAAACACACGTACGAACCCACAAAGAAGCTAAACGACATGAAGATAAGCTTGACGTTCATGGAATGGTACATGAAAACGTGGAAACCGAAAAGGGGTTACTACGATACCTACAAGAATCCCGAAACCATAAAAGAAAAGGACAGCAACAACGGGATTGAGTTGCATCGTCTGCGATTAAACCAGTATTGGCAGAAGTTCGTTACAGAAAAGGATTTATTGCCACAAAAAGAAGGTGCTAAGCTGCGTAAGCGTTGGCTGTATAGCGGAAACAACTACAGGAGGATCGTTGAGCCACTAGATATAGCCGAACATTACAAATCAGAAGGCAAATACTACAAAAACGGAAACAAACACTACTTAGCCGATAGACCGAACCACTATAAGTTGTTGGAGGATTGGTCGAACGAAGATAAGAAGGGCTCGGATAACCCGATTGGAGGAAAAAAGAAAGCTGCTAGTCTTACTGAGGATTCTTGCTTCTGGGCACATGTGGAGGAAGCTTTGATTTCATTGAGAGAGTTGAAGAATGAAGGGTCAGGTAGCCATGCGGACGTCCGCAATCAGGAATTGGAGAATTTTGAGACCAAAGTGATGGGTGAGATCAAGAGTTACTCTTTGTCGCCCGATGTTTTCTTGGAGGGAAGCAGTTTCATGAAGTGGTGGAATGAGTATAAGCAACACAAAGGAGGTTCGTATGTTTCGGAGTTTGCTCGATACATGAACGAGAGGAGCTACAAATTATACAAGTAACCGCGGCCGGTTGAGCATCTTTTGGTTTGATTTCTGTAACGTAAATTGACGATGTTGTTTGGATTTCGAATACTAAAGCAAATTTTTGTACCATTAAATTTTACGAATGAAACTGTTTCACCGTTTCAACTACCTAACTCACGTGACTCTTATCGCCTACAATGAGTTAGGTATATCCTAATAAATTATGAAATATAAAACATATTGTAATCAACTAAAAATAATGAAACACTATGAATACTAAAGAAAATATTTTGTATCATTAAATCAATGAAGGAAATTGTTGCACCGTTTATAGAAGAAGTCATGTGACTGCCATTAAAGAAAGACCGATTTTCATGTAGTGTTGAACGATGAAACATATAAAGAATGAAACATTTTTAAAAATTTAATGTGCCATTTTGAAAATTGAATATTTTTTTATTTAATGAACGTTTTTCATGCATAAAACGTTCCGAAATATTGTGAAATTGTTTGCTGGTCATTATTGAACATGAAATTAATTTCATTACTCAAAGTACATATATTTTTTTCAATGAAACATAACACAGATTTCATATTCTACTGCTCTTAAAATTCATAGTTTTATAAAATATAATGGTAAAAAATAATAAAACATATTAATGGTAAAACATTTATATTAAGAAGAAATGATTTACCTCATTCTATATGAAACATTTCCATTATTATGTTTTCAAAATTAACAGTATTTATTACTTTCTAATGTTGGGGATTTTATAGATTTGCCCTTTTTCAATTAAAAATTAAACTTTTATATTGTCTTTTTATTTATTTCCTAATATAAACTCATTTAATCTTGATGATGATCAAGAAAATAGATGAATGATATTGGTTTGTAAGATTTTCACAAATGAGGGCGGTTTGCAATTGATCCCTTCTATATATATATATATATATATATATATATATATATATATATATATATATATATATATGAGAACGATCAAATGAAAATCACTCAATTTGTAAAAACCTCATTATACCAATCATAATTTTTTTAATTTTTTGTAATTATGAAAGGTTGATTAATCATTTTTATTGTGGAGGATGTTAATCATGGATACTATCATCTTCATTATTTTAATTTTAGAGAAATACATGAAACAATTTCATTAAAATTTTATTAAGTAGTATATGAAACAATTTCATAACCATATATGAAACAACTTCATCAAAAAAAGTATTATATGAAACAATTTCACAAGATTAAACAATTTCATGAAAAAATTTCATAAGATTAAACAATGAAAATCGACGCATGAGAGTAGTTTTTATGGTTTTTACAAATTGGAGTGGTTTTTATTTGAACGCTCTTATATGTATATATATGTTCGATACCGTGTATTACACTGGATAATTTTAAAAAATTAAATCATGTCAGGAAATTTATCTTATATATATGAATTATCATCGAAAGTATGATTCTACTTCAAACTTGTACTTTTGAAATAACTCTGAAAAATAACTCTTCATACTTGAATTCAGAAATGAAACTTTATCAATAATTAGTTAAAATGAAGTTAACCCTAGAATAAAATTAAATTTAGAAATGAAACTATATCAGTAAATTGAATTTAAACTTAGAAGTAAACTTAGAATGACTTTTCAAACTTGTACTCTTGAAATAACTCTGAAGTATAACTATAAAGAATGACTTTAGACTTATACTCTTGAAATAACTCTGAAGTAAAACTCTTCATATTTCAGAGTTTTATATAGGTAAGTCAGAAGCTCTGCATGGTCCTCAGTCTGGAAAATAAGAATTCATAGTTCGAGTGAGCTAACTATGAAGAATACATCTTTAGGCGAGAAAACAAGATAACCGCCTCAACATAAGATGACACGTGTCAATCAAGTTATTTATTTATTACATGTATAGTTATAATCAAGATATAGTCAAACAGGTTGTATAATTACGTTCTAACACTGACATTTATTAAAAATTATAAATATATTAAAAAAAAAGGTTTTGTATTTGAACCGAGGTCCCATGAAAAAACGTTGTAACAACCATTTCCGAGAAAGTGCCAAGTCAATTCCTACAAAATCAAATGGAAAGTTTGATTATTTATACATATAATGTTATAAATAAATAAAGACCTTCACCACACATATGAAGAAAAAGTCTTCATAAAAAATTAAATAAAATAAAAAATAATAATAATAAACTCGAGAGCACCCACCAATCAACACCAACTTTGGTTGTAATTTAATTTTCTGGAGTAGTGATCAATTACAAACTATTCTCGTTTTTCAAAATCTTACAAACCAATCTCATTTATTCATTTTTTTTTAATTAATGATCAAGATTAAATAGTGTTATATTAGGAAATTAAAAAAATTAATTTTTAATTAAAAAAGGGCAAAATCGGCAAATCACCTATATGAATTGGTTTCAATGTATGCAGCTATTTCAATGTATGAAAAACATTATTTAATCACTGTATGAATCTGTATTTCTTAACTAGATAAACATGTATTTCTTCATTGTATGAATCTGTTTCACAGTATTTATTCACATAAATGAATCTGTATTAATCTGTCATCTTCATTGTATCCAACTATTTTACCTTTTTTATATTTAAAAACAATTGATTTATACCTCTCATATAAACGGTTTCTATATTTACATTTTCATATTTAAAAATAATTAAATCATTTCTAATATCAACCATTATACAGTAAAATGATAGTTATACCTTTAGTTATTAAAATTAAAGAATAAAAAACAAAAATTTCTTATTAGTCGGGGGTGGTTTGCATAGTTTTCACGAAAATTCCTCTATTTTATAACTATTGAATAGTAGTATTCTAGATATTTAACCAATTGTAGTTACTTTTGGGAAGAAGGGAGTAATTTTTTCTATGAGGAGTGAAACTCAACCATCTTTCCTAATTGCATTTGAATATGTAGACAGTTGATTTCAAAGTGACAGGGTTACTCAGGAGAACTATTTTTAACAGGAATATATGAACTCTCGAACATTGGAGAAGGAAGACAGGGAAACCTGTAAAAACCTTCAAGTGCGTTTACTAGCATAAAATGGATCAGTTATGAGTTAATTTGGGATCCATTTCTTGTTAACTAGATTAGGAGTCAAATCTCTGTGTCTGTGTCTGTATATGTGTATGTGATGACTCTGTGTCTGTATATTTTACCACAATGTAGCAAACCATTGTTCCACACTATCACTGCCAATGGTGATTTTGAGTGTCCGATGCCACAGCCAAGGGTCCCCTCATTTTGTGAAAGAGTACGGTCGCCATCGCTGAGCTGCTTCTTTCTGCAGCTGCTTAATCTCTCTTCCTCAGCCGGCAATGACATCTCTACGGTGGCTAACAAAACCCTCATCTCTATATTCTTCTAACTTTCTTCCTTTCAAGCCCATGTACAAAACCCTACCTAGACCAACGACAAAACCCTACCCAAAATCATCACCCATTAGATTTGTCCTTCAATACAATCGCAAGCCAGAGCTCGCCGGTGATACCCCAAGAGTCGTTTTCATCACATCTGGCAAAGGCGGTGTCTGCAAAACCACCACCACTGCCAATGTTGGTCTTTCCCTTTCTCGATTGGGCTTCTCCATTTTTTGTTAGCTAGAATAGTAGTCAAATCTCTGTGTCTGTGTCTCTATATGTGTATGTGAAGACTCTGTGTATATTAAGAATATTAACGGATTTGTAGCGCACGCTCAAATCCGGCTCAATAAATTTAAAAAAATGACCATCTTGCCCTTCTTTACATTATGTCATTAGATGTCACTAATATATTTTTGGAATTACATTAATTAAGATTTCTTTCAATTTTAACCATTGATTATTAGGATGTGTGGTTGAGATTGAATCTCACGATTATCACAAACAAACCAGTTCTCATTTGATTACGCCCATATATATATATATATATATATATATATATATATATATATATATAGGNNATATATATAGGGGAGCGTTCAAATAAAAACCACCCTCATTTGTAAAAACCGTACAAACCACCTTCATACGTCGATTTCATTGTTTAATTTTATGAAATTTTTTCATGAAATTGTTTAATCTTGTGAAATTGTTTCATATAATACTTTTTTTGATGAATTTGTTTTATATATGGTTATGAAATTGTTTCATATAATATTTAAGGAAATTTTATTGAAACTGTTTCATGTATTTCTCTAAAATTAAAATAATGAAGATGATAGTATCTATGATTAACACCCTCCACAATAAAAATAGTTGATCAACTTCTCATAATTACAAAAAAAATGAAAAATTATAATTGGTTGAATGAGGTTTTTACGGTTTTTACAAATTGAATGGTTTTTATTTGAAAGTTTCCATATATATATATATATCGATCGATTACCATATCATCAATCTACACACCTACCAAAAAACGAATCTTCAAAAGCTTCATTCATCATCTTCAACATCCACAAACAAAAGTATCCGAAAATATTATCATCAAAGAAAGAGGATGACCCGAACCATGTAAGCTCCGTTTTCGTCGATCTTAAACCTCATTTCATCAATTTCTTCAATCTGTTTTAATGGAGTTTTGCTTTTGATTCTGAAAAAAACTTGCAGGTTTTGCAGTGAAGTGGAATTGGGTGGTTTTCTGGGCAGCTTAGATTTGATTGAAGATGCTTATCACGCAAATTTCGATACTTCTTCATCCACTTCTTATAAACTTCACCACAATTTTTCTGGGTTTCAAGTTTTGTCTTTCCACTCTTCCTCTCATCATACCACTCGATTTCTYAATGGAGGGTTYGATTTGGTTTCGTCRAAAGATCACCCGGTCATTGACTTTGTTTCGACGAAACTCAACCCGTTATTTTCCATTAACGAAGCTGCAGTTCGCTTGTTCGAGGGTCTGTTTCTCGAGCTTAAAGAGCTCGAAAATCAGGTATCTTTTCTTTAGTAGCAGATCTCGTAAAACTGTCACTACAATAAAATTGGCTTTACATGGCACCTAGAACGTCTAATTAAGCGTTATAATGAAATATTCGTCCTATCTAAAATTGTTAAAATAGGTTTGGAGGACAATTCTCGCATTTTAACATTTTTTTTAAAATAAGGGTCCTATGCAACTTTTTGGTTTGGTCTTATAAACATAAGTCCTATAAAGTATTTTATTAAAACGTTTTAGATGTCCTATAGAATTGACTAATTTTTTTGTAGTGTGTAATAGGCTTATAACACCAAATGCTCGTGTGTGTTATCTACGAATGTTCTAATAAGTTTATATGATGCTTTTGAAATCTTATGTTAGTCCTTTTAAATAATACGATTTGAAAATATGTCTTATAAAACAAATGTCCGATAAAAATATGTTTTTATAAGGGTATTTCTCAAAAGTGTCATGTAGAATATTAACATGACATAGTGTTTCACAAATGTCCTAAAAAACTTATTAAGACATCCAAAAACGTCATATGAAGTTATTCCTACACTCTTACGCACACAGTGTATAGGAGACATAAGTTATTGATCTTAAACTTAAGTTTCATAAATAATTTATTAAGACGCTAAACCACTTTTGGTGTCCTAAAAACTCGATTTTATTGTAGTATCTTATCGGCTTAATATTCGTTTTTCAGCTTATTTTCAAGCCGTTGGTTGTCACCGGACGATTTCTCGGGGGATATATCGCCATTCTTTTTACGCTATGGCTGCAACACGCCATAGATGAGAAAGAAGGCGAAGGTTTCAAGGATACGAAAAGACCAATTTGCATAACTTTCGGTTGCCCGCTTGTTGGGAACCAAGATCTCCGAAAGGCGATCTCGGAACGCCCACAATGGAAATCTAGATTCTTGAATGTGGTCGCGCAGACGGATCCTGTTGCTCGTTTTTACTCATCAAATAATCTTTACAAGCCTTTCGGTACCTCCCTTTTTTGCACGGAATCAGGCGGGCACATGGTTTTTGAAGATCAAGAATTGGTCCCGGCTGTTCTAGACGCTATGGCGTCATCTATAACCGGAAATACAGAAATCGACTACGGGAACCATTTGAAGTCAATCCGAAGGAAGGTATTGTATCGTGGGGTTTCTGAATTGGGTGAATTCAAGTTGGATTCATTGAGGGCAGGTATCACATTGCAGTTCAGTGAAGTTGGTCATGTGCTAGATGATAATTTGAATGATCTGGTTGGGAGAATAGCGGAGGAACAAAAAATAGCAAAGAGGAAAGAGCAATTGAATTTCTTTTACGATCGTATCAACAGCAAGAAGCGAAACGAAGAGATGAGAGGCATACTATGCATGGAATTATACATGAAAAAAGGAAGATCGAAAGGGGGTTCCTACGATAGCTTCAAAAACCCCGGAGAAAGCAAACTCGAAATCGAGTTATATCAAGAAATCGTGAAGAATAAACGAATCCTGAACCAGTATTGGAAGGAGAAGGTTGACGAAAATAATCGAATGCCGAAAAAAGAAGGTACTAAGTTGCATAGGCGTTTGCTGTACCGCGGAAACACGTACAGAAGGATCGTCGAGCCACTAGACATCGCCGAACACTACAAATTAAACGGTGAATACTACAAAAATGGAGAGAAACACTATCTAGAAAACCGATCTCAACATTATCAGTTGCTGGAGGAGTGGCTGAATGAACATAATTATAAGAAGGGTCTGAATCAAAGTGAAAGAACCAATAAAGCATCAACTATTAACGATGATTCTTGCTTCTGGGCATATGTGGAGGAGGCTTCCATTTTGTTGTCAAAGTTGAAGAATGGAGGGTCTGCGGACGTCCGTAGCCAGGAATTGGAGTATTTTGAGAATTATGTGATGAGTGAAATCAAGACTTACTCATTGTCTCCAGACGTTTTCATCAAGGGAAGCAGCTTAATGAAGTGGTGGAATGAGTATAAACAGCACAAGGGAAGCTTATATGCTTCTGAGTTTGCTCAGTTTATGAACAACGAAAGCTACAGATCATATA